CAGTTAGCACGGTTAAGAACTACTTGACAAATTTTCCTCTCTCTTGAATCATTTTTTCTCCTTCCTGGGAGAGTGCTTGTGGGATGACAACATAACATTAAGAAGAAAGTGCATATGCGTGTGTGTGTGTGTATGGTGTGCAGGATCTAGTGCGAGGGAAAGACAGACAGACAAACACTCCTTGGAGATGAGAGAACAGAGGTGGGTAGTAAAAAAAGAGGGGAGGAGGGAAGTTCATGTGAATTTTTTTCAAGTTCAGTCCAAACTCTCAGGTCCTTTCCTAATACCCACATAAAGCACTGGCCATAACTGCTTTTAAAACATTTTATTAGGAGGAGTTGAGCATATAAAAGGACAACTTTCCTGCAGAGGTACAAAACCAACCTCTTAATGCAGGTTGAAAAGTTAGAATGTTTTAACTGTAGCCATTTAGTGACATAAGGAGCAAAAGGCCGTCAGTGTGTTGGCCACTAATGCATCAAATTCAGGAACCTTAAAGTGTTTAGTCTCCTGTGGAGTTGGCCTCCTACTTCCTGAGGTCTTTTAATCACTTGGATTGTAACTCTAATAAAAACGTCTGTACCAACTTCCACTGCTGGAGTGCTAGGAGTTGGATTTGATCCACTCTGAGTAAGAGCCCTGGTTTAGGGGAAGATCTTTGGCTGCCATTTCATAAACAGACTTGCTGAGAATTTCTGATGCACTGTGTCTCTAGGCCCAGACTCTTTGGCAACGTTACGAACACAGCAGTTCTTTGGTAAATCTGTACTTATGAGTAAACCTGTTTCATTAAGGGCAGAAGGACATGGAAGTGGGAGGCACTGTTGCTGCCCACACCAACATAAAAATCTTCTTAAACAAGACATGAACCTCTTCTCATGTATGTCCTCATATTCCTTCTATGACATCTATTTATTTCAGTATTTCCATAGCAACTGCAGCTACGAAATTACCCCAAACTTAGAGGATTTCTAAATTCTATCAGATTACGCTAAGGGAAAAAGCAATGATAATAATGTTATTAACCAGGTTAAGCCCTTCTATTAGTAAACAATTTCTTCATGATATACAAAATACTACACTTGTTTACTCCTTCCCTTTGAAGACAGAGAGGAAGTTAGCACCTCCCTTTAATAAGCGAGGATACTGGTATTCATAAATTAAATGACTTATCTAACGTCACACCAGGAGAGCAAGGACTAAAAGCAATGTATTCTATTTACATCACTTTTCTTCTCAAGGAAGCTTGGTGCTCTTAATTTTAATCTGTTCACTTACAAACTCATAAGAATAATCAAAACTAAGCCTTTAAGAGATCCATCACCAAAGCAGAAAAGCATCTCATTGATTTTGCTAATTATAAAACTTGAAATAACTATTGCATAATTCACTTATTAAATTGGTGCAATATTAACATAAAGAAACCCCTTCAACACTGGATAAGGTATAGTTTAACATTTGGTCTCATTATTGCTGGTGGTTCTGTAAATTGGAAAAATCTTTTTAAAGAAATCCAGTAAAAGGTCTCCAAACTGCCATAAAGTAAACTTGGTAGCATAAATCATAGAATTTATGCTAAGGAAGTAATTCAAAGTAAAATAACATTAAAAACTTCTACTCAGTTACTTATAGGCATGTTATTTACAATACTGAAAGACTGGAGAATATCTGATATCTTTCTAGTGGCAAATGGCTTTAAAATGTAGTATGTAAGCATAAGGTACAGCTAGCAGATAAAAAGCTAAAAATGGAAATCATTAACAGCGGAAAGCTATATACATATTCATATGAGGTCAATCAATGGAAAATTCAAAAGAAAGCATGTATAAAGTGATTAAAGAGAATTACAATGCCTTACTGAGTCCAATTTGTTTAATTACAGCTATGTACATGTAAGGATTAAGGATTCAGGAGACCATAGGAAAATGCAAATAGTCAATGAATCAAAGATAAAGCCATCGCTGGTATATTTGCTCTCCACATTATGTAAACATTTAATTTAAACATGATCTTAAGTTCTTCAGTACCAATTTAAGCAAAAATAAAATAAATTAAATTTGTATCAGACTGGTCTCCTTCCAGAACTCAGAGCATCAAACAGTGTGGTCCTTACACAGAAATAGTTAACTAACTAAACGAACTTCAATATGCTGATTCTATCAATGAAAAAAAAGCGCCCAGACAGAGGCCCAGGGCCTAGGTTTCCTCTGCTTTGTACAGGACGTCTCAGACATCTTGCTTCTACTAACGGAACAAGACGCAGTTTGACTGGATGACATCACGGGTGCTTCCTGGTCCCAGGGCTTCCTGGTCTAAGGTCACACAGCCCTAGGGTCCTCCTTAACACAAACTCTATCTTCAAAACAAAGCTGTCTCATTTTATTCTCCTAGCTTTCCCAACCTCCTGAAGAGAAACTCTTTACATTTTTAGCATGGTAGCTCATTGCACTTAGGAAAGTTCAGAAGACATTAAAATGCTAAAACATCCATCTGCAGGCTCGAGGGTCTGTGCTGAACTCTGAAATCAGTATCGAACAAGGGTCTTTGAGTAAAGCTTAACTGAATTCTGATAAGAATTAAATTACATTTAGAGTCACCACGGATACATTTCATTAAAGAAAAATCTTGATTAAAGTTTCTTAGGAGGGAGTGAAGTCAAAAAGGATGGTAAGAAATTCCATTACTTGAATTCACTCACTTCTTGCAAGGATGTGATTAAACATCACCCAGATAGCGCTCCTTGTCATGAGCACAGTACAGGAACGGGTAACCGAAGCAGAAGGAAATGCATCCTCAAGAACTGCCGAGCTGCTGTGCCCGGAGTGGAGATGGAGACCTCACCTCAGCACAGCAGAAACCCACAGAGCAAGCAAAGCATCTAAGAACGTCTGAGAGATTGGAACGATTTCCCAAAGCCCGATGCATCTCACTGAACATGTAAGGTCCTCACTTTCAGAAATGCTAAATAGGCCAGAAATCTTTTCAAAATTAATCTCAGAATAACATTCATTCCATTACCATTCCCTCAGCCAGCCAAGTGTGCCTTACAAGGACTGCCTCATTTCATCTTTGCGAGCCTTTGGGGAGAATCCTGCAGTCACCGCTATGTGTATGAGGAAACTGAGGCTTAGAAAGATCATGTCGCCTTCCCAAGGAGACAAAGTATTAAGTGATGGAATCAAATTCAAACTCCCGGTCGTCATACAGTGTTACATTGTTTCCCAGTACTGTTCATGTGATTCCTGGCTCATAAGAAATAAAAGGAAAACTGAAGGGGGCAGCCACAGGAGTCTCATTCAAGTAGCAAGAATCAACAATGCGGTCAAAAAAAGGGTGAAAAACAGACACAAGAACTACAAAAAAACACAGCCGGCTGCGGTCACCTAGTGTACAGACAGCTGGAGGTGCTTCCAGAGGCTCTGCTCACGTCACTGCCACAGCTCACTGCCGTAAATAACTTCACTGCGGTCCTAGGTCACTGTGAATGGCAGTCACACAGTCTGTTTACAATGGCAGGGAATTTTGTAATTTTCTCTTTCAACAAAGATTTCAAACAGTGATATTTGAAATAGTCTCATTTCCTACAGAGGTAAGTTTTTGTGCACTAGACTTCCCCTGATATGCAACTGTTGCTTCCAAATCAATGGGTCATCACCATGTTTGTGCCTGTGTTCTGGAAAAACTAAGTCTTGTGTCTGCAAGGAATATGGGACCAGGAGTTTGAACATCTGAATACAGTCCTGACTCTGACATCAATAAAAGAACATAAGAAGTCACTTTCTCCCTCTCTGTATCTCTGTATTCTCACTTCTGAAGAGAGGAGTTAGACAAATGATCTCAAGCTTTTTGTTTTTCCTCCAGCTCCAACATAATGTGGCACTATAATGATGCTGTATGCGTCTACCTTGCCTTTGGGGAGAAAAGTGAAATAAAACTGAACCTAAGAGATGCAAAACAATATTTAATTCTGTAAGATCTTACTCGTGAAGAAATTTCAGACCTGTGCTACAGATTCCAGGGCTGCAATGAGTTAGAGCTGTCAGATTATGGAAAATACCAATGAGGCCAGAAACTTCTGCAATAAACTTCAACCTTGGGGATTTTCAAAGTTACGTATGACTCTCAATAGCTTGCACCCGAGGCTTCTCTTATATTGAAATGTCTGGACACTGAGGGCCAAATCATGCCCTTTTTTTGTGGATTTGCAAAAAGTACTACTTTTTTTCCACTAACAAGTGTTAAACAGAGAGCTAAAGTCATGCAGGATAGCAAGAAAATTTACTTTAGATTTAAAAAGTTTATGTTCATTCATCAACTTGCTCTGTCAGAAGATACCTGAGCGTGTAGATTTAAGTAGCCTGGCAAACAGCTAAGATAATGTGACTGCGAGGATTTCTTAGTAGCCCAGTATGTTATTAACATATAGTTGCATATTTTAAAAAGAAAACTATTCGCTCAGTCAGCATGACTATTTCTTTCCCTTTAAGGTCCTCTATCCTAAAGAGTTTCTCTAAATGCATCATTGAAACCCTGCTGGGTATGACAGGTAAGAAACATTCTGGGTGTGGCGGGGGGGGGGAAGGTGATTCAAAGGACCCGGGAGTTTGAAAGAGCACTCACAATTCTCAAGGCCCTGCGATGTTTCTCTACAGCTTCAAATATAGAGTTAGACTTAATAATTAGAGGTGACTCTGCTACTCAGGAAGCCTTCTGACGCTTCAAGGGGAAACGTGCTAGCTTGTACATACATGCTTGTAAGCCAGGGGGTGATAGTGTTCTCAGCAGACCACTAACTGAAGGGTAGCCCCATCCGATGCACCTTTTTGACTTCATATGAACAGCGGATGTATGGATGAAAATGAAGGTATGTAAATTTACACACACACACACACACACACATTTTGAAATCTGATGAGAAGTAAAGATCTGATGGCTACATCTGATCTGGAGTGACAGAAGCTGTCTTTGTCCAGTACCCGGAGGACCACGTCTGAACTTACAATGTAGCAAGGCTCGCAGTAGGCTTTCTTCTCCACCGCGTAGAAGGGCTGCCCGCGGAGCTTGTTGTTACAGATGATGCAGGTGAAACAGTCCACGTGGAAGACCTGATCCATGGCAGTGCATCCTGTACCTTCCCCAACGACGTTCTCCCCACAGCGAGCACAGCGGCCTGAAAGAAAAAGGGGGTTGGCTGTTAAGAACATGTTCTGTCCTTCTAAAGAAGACAGCTTGGAGGAGACAGCAGATCCCTAATGCCAGCAGCAGCCACAGGACCACCAATACCACCATCAACATCATGAGCAAGAGGACCACTACAGCCACCACCATCCCCTGCAAGGCCAGCATGATGGGGATTGTACGAGTCAGTTGAGGAGTTGACCATCACAGCAAAGGTCCCACAGAAAGTGACAGAGAAGAACTCAGGTCTCCTGTTGTCAATGCCAGGGCTCTGCCTCTAGTCTCACACACAAGGGTTAAGAGAACATGACTCAGGAGCGTAGGCGTGGAAGGTGTAGTCCAGGAAAGTCTTTCTCCCTGGAGAGACCTTGCATCCAGTGTGACTGTCAGGGAACTGGGTCCAAACTCAAACTTCAACTCCTTTCACAAAAGCCTGGGTTGCAAAATCTCTGCATCCAGCCCTCAGTGACAGACAGATAAAAAAGTGGTCCCTTTTATTTCCAGGCAGTGCTGACTGCTAGAAAGTTCTTTCTCATAGTGAGCTGGAATGCTGCCTCATTCTGTTACCCAATAGTTCCAGTTCTGTCTTTTAAGGCCTCATGAAATACGTCTCCTCTTTTACACTTGACGTTCTTTGAGATATTACAGTTTAGTTATCATTGCCTCCAAGTCTGTTCATAGTTTGAACAGCTCTAAATTGTGCAACAGTTTCACGCACAGTACAATTTTGAGTCCCTCAGAACCTTGGTCGTCACTGTCCAGCCCAGCATTTTGCAAACTTCCAGACCATTAATTTGATGCATGGGGCCTCTGACCACAAACAGATATTGTGTTTAGGTTGAAATAAATGTATTAAGTTTTGAATCATAACATTAAAATGTCATTTAAGGAAACCCTGTATGTCAGTAAGAGGCATTACGCTGGCTGCAGTCTGTACCCAGATCTGGCTTCACTGTGGGAATCTTGAGCCGCGGGTCAGGTCCACTTTCAGGTTTTTTTATTATTTCTACAAAGGTTAAAAGTCTTAACAAGTAACTGCAGGTCACTGGGAATGTCAGCAAGAACCGGCAGGCTTTTACAGAGAAGCTACAATACAGCTCACCCCTGCTGCACAAGTGTCAGGCATTTTCGAGGTGCTTCAGATGCATTAACTTACTTCACATTCACAAAAACTGATACAACAGGTACTGTGATTTTCCTGTGGATGTCGAGTGTAAACTATGAGACATATTTCCTGAGGCCTTAAAAGACAGATGAGGAAACTGGGTTACAAAACTGGTTAGCTCACTTTTAACCCAAGCAGTCTAGCGTCAGGGTGGGTGGTCCTAACCACTATGTTGTCTTGGCTCTGCAGAGTTCTGTGCATCAGCACTGAACACAGCTGGCACTATGGAGAGACTTCTCACTAAAGGCTGCTTTCAGCAATCCATCACGTTGGATTGACAACCGCTTCACACCTAAAAGAGGGGAGAGTTTTCCGTGTTTCAACTTGGGAGAAAAGCAGCAAATGTATTTCTAATTCTCTCAGGTTGTGTTGGCCCTAGAAAGTATTTTTGTATATTTTCTTGCAGGATTTGAGTGCATCTTTAAAATACAGCCCACACTATAGATCGTTTTCCCCCTAACTAATAAGAAATACCAGGTGCTGAAAAAAAAGGTTAAACTCTTAGAAATGGAGCCGCCTCCACCATAGTTAATATTTTTATGCAGTCTTTATATCATACTCGACATTTGATAAAAACTTTTATATATTTGTAATAAACTTTCTGGCTTGATTTGCAAACTTCTATTCAGGAGTGAACTTGTATCTGTTTTTGTTATAAGATGTATAACATTAGGAAGGTGCTTTAAAATTTTGGACTTTCATTGCCTTTGGTAATAAAATGAAATTTTCCACATGGCACTACTTTGGTGATTATTCTAAAAACTTAATTGGCTTACTAGAAAGTTCACTCTACTATTTTTGAAAAGGATGTGCTAGCAGGGAGGGAAATGGCTCAGTGGTGGAGCGTGTGCTTAATATGCACAAGGTCCTGGGTTCAATCCTCAGTACTTACATTAAAAAAAAAGAATGCTAAAAATTCTAAGAGCTTCATGCTATTATCTGACAACACTTCATTACAGAAAACATACTGGAGATTTCGGGCAAATGGACCACCAATCCATAAAATATAATTTAAAAATTACATCATCCTCAGAGCATTCAGAGTTTTCTTTTTCAATTGCTTGTGTAAAATCATCATATCACCCCAGTGTATACAGATTCATTTCCAATATTTACATTGGAATTGCGTTCACTAAAATTTACCTTTGTAATATTAATCTGAAGTGGTATTTATGGCATTTTCTTTATCACTATTTTCTTCTAAGAATCACATTCAAATCACTGATCTATTTGGTGAACTGAAGAAACAGTGTAATACAATAGCAATGATAAAAAAATGCAGGTTTTACAGCAGCAGAGAAAAACACTAATGACATGAAAATGCTCTGAGCTGAATGGCACTGTTACTGAACATCAGGTAAACAGCAGCAATCAGCAACACTGATCAACGCTGTTACTGAACACGGGCTAAGCGCCGCCAGGTTCTGTGGTACGCGTGCAGTCTTTAAGAACAGGGTGATTGATTAAGAGCATGTTGGATTCCTGTGAATACTGTACTTCTACATTTCAGATCTGTTAAATGCAAATCTACAAAATAACTTTTACTACTCTTTTCTTCTCTCGACATCAAACTGGATTCCTTGATAACTCTGCCAGGGACTACCAGTGATCTGCGGACTACACTTTGGAAGAAAATTGTTCTAGCCAAATGTTACTGACACTCGGTCATGGCGGTCTATCAGGCAGGTGGAGGTAGCAATTATGATCCAGACCATGGTGGCCCGAGCTGCACTATCTGGAATCCAGGAGACTGAGCCCACATGGTTAATGGAGAGTTTGAGAGCTACCCATGAGGATCCGGGAGGAAATTTCAGTTACTGATTAAAGGGAGAGAAAGGTCAGAGGAGAGCCCTAAAGGTCAGGACGAAAAGCTAAGCTTTGGAATTCTCTTTGTATTAAACAGGCATTCCCCAGGTGTTTACTCTTTGCCCAGTACTCTATTCTGTACAATACACAGAAATAAATCTGACAGTGTCAGTGCCTTTTACATCAATTATGAAACTATATGCACCCTACAATCCCATGACAAAATGTGGTGTCACATGAGGAAGGGCTACGGAGATGTGGGAGGAAACTCACGTGTGAGAGGGCTCAGAAAAGGCTTCGTTGAGCAAGAGGCATTTAAGATCAGCCTTAAAGGATGGAATTTGGACAGGTGGGGATGGAAGAGAGGAAAACATTCTCGATTTTCCACAGAGGAGATGGGTGGCTGAGCTTACTGGATCCAAAATCCCTGCAGTGACTTGGCGGCAGCACCACAAGGTTTTATCTTCTCGGCCATGAAAGCAGGTGGACGGTGTTCAGAAGAAACAATCTTCTCCTTTATATCCAGGAGAATATTCTCCCTGAGTGGGTCAGGCTGATGTGCTGGACCCAGACACGGCCAACTCTGCTGCCTCCCATGTTTTTCCTATTCTTGGGAGAAATTGGGGACACCAGGCTCGAGGACAGTCAGTCTGGCACCTTAAAATCACAAGCCCAGAAAAAGAGTGAAGAACAAAAATTAAAAATAGCCCTACACATCAGCAGGACAGAAAAGGTGCCCGAATGTTCCCTTTTCGCATTAACAAAAACTTACAAACCATGCCTCTTAGGGAAATATTCACAGTGGAAAGTCACTCATGCAGAGTGCATCCTGGCCCCTAGAGGGGCCTGTGCTACACGTCATTAAAAGCATCCCACAGCCCTGCTTGCTGCCCATCTTGCAGACAGGTGTCTCAGCACTTTTCAACAAGAAAAACCAGGGGAGCGGTACCAGACTTGAAGCCATCAGAGCACGAAGGAAACAATTGATTAGGGGCCAGTGGGAAACTCAGCGTCAATTTCAGACCCAGGGCTGGTAGGAGGAACTCAGTGGCAAAGCTTAGCACAGTCACTTAAAAAAATCCAATGACAGAGGGTTAGACATCCTGGGGAGAATTTTGTCAGTGAACTGAGATGCCTGAACCCATAAAAGCTTGTCCATATATTACTACTTGTTATATATATTGCTTTATACCCACTGTGGAGCCAGTCACACAATCTTCTCACCCATCCCCTACCCCGCCCCCAACTACAACTATAGCAACCTCTGCAGTGTCTCTGAAATGCTTCTTTCCCACCACACGTCTGCTGCCCACATTGGGCTCTTTATCTTTCACGGGCCATTGCAATGGCTTCCTGATTGCTCTGCTGTCTCTAATTTACTTCGTCTTACAAATGGAAAGGCTTTGTGGCCGTCTCAGTACTTGCGCTAGGTCTTGAAGTTTACACAGGGTTTGAACAAGTCATTTTAGGAATGGCATGGGTGAAGGGTGACATGACCGGCAAATCAACAAGTTAAGAGAGGGAGGTGAAAGAGTGAGACGTGTGTTTGCATACTTACTGGTTCCAGCGTTCTCTTTTCACAATGTGAATTTATTTATTTTGTAATATGGAAATAAAATACCATTTAAAGATGATCTTATTTACAAAACACAAACAGATTTACAGACAGAGAGAACAAACTTGGGGTTACCAAGGCAGGAAGCGGGTGGGAAAGGATAAACTGGGAGTTCGAGACTTGCAGATACTGACTACTACATATATAAAATAGATAAACAACAAGTTTTTACTGTATAGCACAGGTAACTATACTATTATGAAAAAGAATATAAAAAAGAATGCATGTATGTAAATGTATGACTGAACTATTATGCTGTACACCAGAAACTGACACATTGTAAACTGACTATACTTCCACAAAAAAATAAAAATAAATAACATGATGTTCTTGTGACCAGTACACCGTGAATACAACAGGCCATAGACCCTCTTTTGCAAACACTGCTTGTTTACAAATGTCCATA